AACCGACGTTCCAGTTGGGCTTTAATAGTTTTACCAACCCCCTCTGGTGCATCTCAAACTATTTAAGTTAGTCTGAATTTAAATGTTATGCTTGCTAAAAAGGTGGTACTTATGAAGCATTTTATAAAAATGTCCTTGTATCAGGTAAAATCCAGTATACCCATCGCACTCCTGACTGAATAATACCCTTGGAGTCGGGTAGGTGCCAAAGTGACTGCAGATGCCTCTGCAATCCAAGATAAGTTAATGTATAAAGTGACTCGCACTCCAATAGAATTTCCAGTCAAAAACAGATTGCTATCACATCATATAGTGACGTTTCGGAACAACAGCGGAGCTAACTCGGGAGCACATGTGGTAGTTTGCAGCAAGGCCAGAGGCAACATGGCAGCACATTTAGAACTCTTAAAGCGCCAGATGATCCCGATTGATCTGGGTAATGTCTTACATGTGATGCTTTGTTATATAATCATTATGGCGGGAATGCATAGTCTTTCCTGTAACGGAGGGGATAACAATCATTATGGCGGGAAAGCATAGTCTTTCCTGTAACGGAGGGGTTAACACGTGTTCATGTGATTGGTCCACTGTCTTTCTCACCATGCATATATATCTGCACTCGTACTGTGGTGTTTTTACATTGTTTGCCTGAATGAAGGAACCTCTGTTGTTCCAAAACGTCACTATATGATGGGATAGCAATCGAGTCAATAAACCGTTTTTGACTGGAAATTCTATTGGAGTGCGAGTGATGTTATATATAAACTTTTCTTGTATCAGGTAAAGCACATCGCTGACAGAAAAGTTCTTCTGTACCTGCAAAAAAGCAAAAGCTACCTGCACCACTGAACATCGCTTTGAAGTAATCATGACATGAAATTTCTTCCGAGACCTCAACTCATTACAGCATACAGTGGTGACACCGAGGTCAGGAGGAATCGCTGAGCCCTACGGGGAACCAATGAGATTGACGCTCCAAAGGGTGAGTCTCAGAAGACACTTCAGGCAGGGACTGTTCAGTATTGGAGCAATATTCAGTGGTGTGGGCAAGAGAGGCAGGTATTTCTTGCAGGTACAGAGCTTTTGAAGCCATTTTTTTAAAGCATAGTCCCTTTAGAAGCCCAAATCACATACATTTTCTTTTTACCTTTTTATACTGAGGAAGGGTTATAACTTTTTTTCCCCCCCCGATGTCTTGTGTCCCTGATAAGACTTTTGAGGAAATGTTCCTATGAGGCAACACTGGAAGCAAAGCTGGCCATACACCAGTACCATTTTGTTTAAAAATCTTCATTTTCAGAACATTCATTTGATTTTTCCAATCATCCGTGGGGTCTAACCAACATTGGTTCTTGACCACAGTGACAAGAAAAATCGAAGGAGCAGGACAGAAGTTTTTTTCTCATTCACTATTGGAACAAAATTCTAAGGCCCCATTCACACCTAGGCGTATTGTAATATGCGCGTCTTACCGCGATTCGCGGTAAAAAAGTTGCGCGACCGTCGCGCGATTCCGAAGGCTACTTGGCTGTATCCCAATGGCAAACGCCCTACAAAACGGCCCAAAGTAGTACCTGGACCTTTTCAGGCGTGGGCCGTTTTGTAGGGCGTTAGGGACGGGCGGAAATACGGCAAGGTGGGAACGAGACCATTGACTACAATGCAATTTATATTTTTGACCGTTTTGTAGAGCGTTCGTCGAGCGTAGAACGCGCTACAAAACGGTCAGGTGTGAACGAGGGCTAAGTGTGAATGGTTTTGCTTGTAAATAATTGCCAGCTTTGTACTCTTTGCATACCTTATTTCTCTTTTATTCCCCAGTCTTTTGACAGTGGCCATGTTTACTAAGGGCAAATTACTAGATCTCCAATTAATTCCCGGATTTCTGGCACATGTGATTAGACATGTGACCATGCACATCATCTCAGGGGGGAAAATGCCGTTTCCCTGAGATCTGGTGAGATTACAGATGAGATTTGCCAGCAATTGCGTTCCATAAGGCACACCGGACCATAGGACGCAGGGCGGTCCGATGCGCCTTATGGAGCACTGAACAGACCGGAGCTTGTCACAGATTCTGTGACAGAAGCTGCAGTTAGTGACCGCTGAGACAGGTGGTGCTGTGATTGAAGCGCCACGGTCTGTGATCACACAGAGCAGACGAAGAACGTCCGTTCATCTGCTCGAGGGGCTCTATGGTGATCTCAATCGCCGCCGCTGCTCGGTTTTAATACGAGTGATCTGATTAGATCACTCGTATTAAACGAGCAGTGGCTCCTACTGTACATTTAGCTCTAGCAGGGCTAAATGTACAAAAAACTACGCCCGGCGCCCGAAACTGCATGTCTCGGGCGATAGGGATTCGCACCATAAAAAGCACACACATTTCCCCCCCGTCTTTTTTAGGGGGGGGGGGGGGGGGGGGGGGGGAAGTGCTTCTTATGGAGCGAAAAATACAGTACATAATAAATGTACTCCTGTGACCCAAGAGAACTAAAGCCAAAAAAAAGTTTGGCTATAGTCCGTGTTTAAAAAAAAACAAAAAAAAAAACCAGACAGTTCTAATCCTATCCCTCCCCTGGGGGAAAAAAAAATAGAAATCCAGTGCTTCAGTGGCTGCATGTGCCCCTTCTTTCCCAGGGAAAACACAGGAATGGTCAGGAAAGTTCCCCAAACAGTATACAGACAGCAATAAAAACCCAACAGGGGTTCTAACCCTTCCCCATCAGTAAACACGTGCAGGCTACAGAGTGGAGTGTTGCAGCACTTTATACTAGAAATGCTAGATTTTCACAGGCCTCCTAACATTTCTACCACAATAGACTGCTTTGCATTTCATCTTGGGCTCCTGTCTCTTGCTACACAAGACGTACTAAATTCTCAGGAGCAATTATCTAGGGAGAACTAATAAAATGCTAAAAATAAAAAAAATCAGAAAACTGTAACCACTCCTCATGTCAGCAAAAAGTGGAACAGCCAAAGGATTTGGAGAGGCAGACTGCCAAATATAGGAAGAGCTTTCTAACGGATGCATGGGAAATAGAAGTCATGAGCAAATAATGAAGATTATAGGAGGTGCTTTTATAACATGGCTGCTGTAGTAGGCTTTCAAATCTTCTGCCAACACACAGACTCTCAGGATTTGTAAAATCACGCAATATTTTCCATGTAATCTTCATGTGCCTGCAGGCTGTGAGCACGGGAAACCCTGTCGCAGTCTGGTGTTGGGGGCGGGGCTTGTTGCTAAGTGAATACGTGTCTCATACATCTAGTAAGCTCAGCAGCAAGGCTCTGACTGCCTGCATGCTGGAATATGCCAACACAGCTTCTTTCCAGAGGAAAATCCATCTTTTTGGAAATGATTCAAGCACAAAAGGAGATGGGGGGGGAGCAAGTGCAAAGCTTGCAAGAGGCAATAAATCGGGTTCAATACAAAACTTGTACTTTTCCGTCCAATTGGCAGTCTACGGAAAGAAAACCTGTCCAAAGTAATTCCATTGGTCCCAAGAGCCAGCTGATTTAGCAAAGCATTTCTTTACCAACAATGTATGCTTTATTGAAAGTTGACAAGTGCAACAGTTAAATACAATGACGTGTTACAACTGTTTAGAGAACATGCACAACGTATGCATACTACCTTACAGCTCATATATTCCGTTAGATTAGCAGAAAGTGGTCAGTGTCTGGAGTGTAGAAACTAAAACTGAAAAAAATATAAAATAAACTTCAGTGAACTGGAGTTTGCTTCCAAAGATTCTTAGCCAAGGCAAGTCTGAAGAAAGAATACAAGTGGCACCAGTCTGCCATGTCCTAATGTGTATTTGCAACCTTCGGCTTTCCAGTTCTTGTTTAACAAATCCCAGCATGCACCTTCACGCTGCAGACTTGGACTTCAACAATAACGTGAGAGCCAAGGTCTGTCTACCTCTACGTCCTAAACAGTTGTGCAGGTGTGCTCTTGGCTAAACCCTTTAGTGCCAGATTAACTTGCATCTGGGGTCCATCTGACTCCTAAAGAGCTAGCAGCTTTAAAAAGAAAAGGAAAAAAAAATCAAAACATTTCCGTTCAGCCAATGAAACCACTAAATTTCAATCTGTACAACCTAAGTAGTACTTACAAGAGTTCTATTTTACAAAGTACTTACACTACATACACAAATATACAGTAGGCAAATAAACTTCATTGAAACAATAATAATAAAGAATAATAATAATAATATTCCTAGTTCCCAACAGCATCTTCTCACAACAGATCATATTGGATCAATATAGCAGATATTGCAAATGAAGGGCCCCAGCACAAGTAGACTTCAATGGCTTCACCCAACGGGAAGGTGTCTTTGGGGTATAAAGCTTCCTCAGTGTGGAAGAGGATAGAAAAAGCTTGCGTCATATCCAGTACAAATCAATCCACTATTGTACCACCTGAACATACTTGCATCATGTACAGCGGGTGGAGGCGTGTTACATGGATAAAATGAAATTGTTTATAAAACAAAAACTGAAGGAATCACAGTACTAGGTGTATTTACATTCGCAATCACTGTCCAAGCAGAACGGCTCATTTCCAATGCAACACGCTTTGAAAGAATTATTCCTTGGAGTCCAAGTATGAAAAGGGGGGTAGAGTGACAGAGCGCTAATACTGAAAAGAGGGAGGCGAGGAGAAACATGGGAGGCACATTTGGTACCTGCTCCTTAAATATGAAGTGTACATCAGAGGCACATCCAAGAGAGAGGGAATATCTTGGGAGTTTTGCAGTCACTGAAATTATTAGGACACTTCATAGCCATAAAAAGGTTGAAACGTTGGTCACCTCCTCTGTAAATGTCAAAGCCCAAGCATTAAAGCACTGAGAAGAGAGTTGCCGTCAGACTTTTATTATAGGTATGGTTGTTGTGATTCAATCTCATGGTTGCAGAGGTCTTCAGTATTCATAATTGTAGTGGTGAAAACTGTAGGCTCATCGGGAAAGTCAGAGTGGATCGGGCCCCATTGTGATGACTTGTTATGAGATGAAGCTGCTATGCCGAGGGGCCGGAGCTTTGTGTGGCTGGCTGTGTAGGTGCCGGGGTGCCTGTTACAGGCTGTGATGATGAAGAGGATGGAGGAGAGCCGTTCTGGAGCTGAGCTTGGAACTGGGCGAGCTGCTCTGGACTTGCCAGGGTCTTCAACAAACTGTTTTCCTGTTCCAGCTGAGAGTTCTTCTCTATCAGCTCCTTGATTTGTTCCTTCAACACCTCTACCTCTTCTCTAACTGCATACATCAGGTGGCTTTTAACCAAATCCTGCAATACAAAAATACACTCAATGCCCAAGGAACCAGAAGAGGGAAATAAATAGCAATTGCTTTACACACAATAATATTAAGAAGGGATGAACCTTATGGTTAGCCCCAAAAAAATGACAATTACCCTATTATGTCATAACACTGTACCCTAGTCCTTAGGCTCACCACTCACGTTACAATTCAACTGTACAATCCACCAAAAATATGTATGTAAAGCAGATTATACAGATTGTAGCGTGTAGGGTGAGACTTAGCAACAATGCAAACATACAATATAAAAAGAACATAAAGGAAATATATGAGCTACCATTACTGATCTCTCTCTCTAAAACTGCTACCTGTCTGGCCGTCATGCTGATGCTTTGTCTTCACTCATTCCTGACTCACTGATTGGAAACAAGTACAGAGATGGAGAATCCTGCCTTGTAATTGCTACATGATTGTTGCAGCTTTGTGACTCAAATACCCAAACCAAGAAACTGACATTATTAGAAAGCAGTCCGCAGCTGTAGCCCCCATATTGCTCTGATAACAGGTGTTTGTTAAACCATTAAGAGTATATCAGACCGTAATATGAAAAGGGGGGGGGATTGGTCACAGTTAAATCCTAGTGAAATATAAATATCACATCACTAAACTAGAACAAAAATGCAAGAAAAATATAACCATGTGGGGTGTGTTTAGTTTGTCTAACTATTCAATAATATTTAATAACGAGAGAGAGGCAGACAGAGAATGTATAGCTTAGTCCAAAACCCTTTATCCGTCTCTGACCACATACAATAAATGTTTTTTTTTTTAAAGTGAATATACACACACACACACACAGAGAGGTTACTCAGACTTTATATGTGTATAAGGTATACAGGGACACAGGTAACGAGGAGAACCGTAGTGTAGCCTTATTGCACTGGTTCAATTCCCACCAGGGACACCATCCACCCATGTTAATATCTGCTCCAGCTTTCCTCTCAAACCATCTTGCGAAGGTTCATTGGATTAAACACAATACTGACCTTTGTATTGGAATGAGGAATGCACATTAGATTACACAGACCACAGGCTGTAAAACCCAATGGGGGGGGGGAAGGGGGGTAGATTTACTAAAACTGGAGCAGCTGTGTACACTAACCAATCAGCTTCTAGCGTCATCTTGATCAGTTCAGCTTTGAAAATGAAAGCTAGAAGCTGATTGGTTGGCTGCTCCAGTCTGAATACAACCCCTCAATGTTTTTTTGCAGGTCATTGCTAAATTTGAGGGCTCTACACAAATGAAATAAATGAATTTCAATGCATGTGAATCCTGGGGGGTTAGTTTGATAACAGGGCAGGATGCGGATCTTCAATGATTACATTGTAGATCATTAAATGTGACATCATCCTACACTTACTGCTTCCAAATCATATAAACAAGACAGATCACTGAGCTGTATTTCCTGCCCCATCTAGTGATCACAGTCTGTGGCCATGTAAGGGACACATTCATATATTAAACTCATGAAATAACCTGCAAATCCCGACCAGGGCATTGTGTGCCGACCACAATCCTGCAAATCTACCTGTGTGTGTGATAACACTGAGCTGGCACAACACATGTCTGCTCTACCCCCTCCTCGCCTTCCTTTGTAGCAGAGCTCTGCTGAGGACAATAGCGGAGATCTCGGCCAGCCCGGCGCACACCGGCTGCAGCTAGTCTGAGCAGAGCAGGTTGCCGCATAGTGTTTTCCTCTAAGTCCATGACGTCATGAGAGCACATCGAAACCCGCCCACCCTGGCTACCATCTGGCCAATGGGGGAACGAGCTATTTATAGCCGGGAGTTAAAGGTTCTCCTCCTGCCTAGTAACAGCGAGCGGGGAATCGCGTGAGAGGAGCGCACGGCTCCGGGCATCGCTCCAATAACAAAGAGGAAATGTGCGGGGAGGCGGTGTGTGTGCCAGGTGTACTCATACCTGGGCTGCCGCGCACACACAGCCCATACCTACCATGGCTTGCTCGATTTTGTTGTCGATCGCTACCACGCTGGCACCGGAGGAGCTGAAAGACAAAAAAAAAAAAAAATGGCAATCGGTTAACGCCGACAGTTCATAACCAGTGTACAGAACATAGCAAAATGAGACACGGTGTCATTGTGATCCTGGTGTGTCCGTGCCAATCAGACCCCTATCCGCCCCAATGTGACTCCATCGCCGAGATGTATGTGTGCATCCCACATACTGCATCAACCGCACACATCACAGTACAGCATTTCCCGGACTGAACACTACACACATACATCATACAGATCATACAATATACACACACAGAGATCATACAATAGAGACACAGATCGCGCACACACATCTCAGGGTATACAGATCATACAATAGACACACATCTAGGCTATACACATACAGGTCCGCACAGTACACAGGCATCCAGAATATTCCACACAGCGAGCAGAAGAGGATCCGCCATCATGCAATCCTTCGATCTATCCATCACACACGCAGCACTGAGATCACACGGTCCGCAGGCAGAGATGATGGAGGAGGGGACCGGCCGTGCCATGTACCTGCTGTCTAATGTGACGGGCGCGCTGTCTGTGCCCAGCAGGGAGGAGAGGAAGGAGATGGAGAAATTCCTGAGCTGGTATACCCCTAGATCCATAGCGGCCTCCGCTCTACATCTCCGGCACAGGACGATGAGCGGCCAGCGGACATGAAGCCCCTTTGATGCTGAGGAGGCTGCGGGAAGAAATGTCCCAGGTCAGCGCTTCCCCGGCTCAGCTGAGAGCCGGCCTGATTACATAATATATGCACGGGGCGCCCATTGGCTGAGCTGCCGCTAGGGAACGCCCCCTCCCTGCAACCCTTTCAGGACCGGGAGAGGACTGTACATGGGATGGGACTACGGAGCGAGGATTTCATCATCTGCCATAGAGCAGAGCGCTCATCTCCGATCCCCATCACACCGACATACAGTCATCATCATCAGTCCAACAAACACAGGACCTCACCGCTCTATACACCGAGATGACTTCTATTATAATACATCACTGACTGCACGAATTCAGGGAATCCCACCCACAGGTTCCGCGCTGGACATTACAAGGTCCATAATACAGCCGCGGAACGCTCTATGGATGAGGAGGATCTCCCCGAGACACACAGCACCAGACCATACTGGAGCACAAACTACAACACTCTGGCGCCCTCTAGTGGCCACACCGCTCAACTGCACACAATGTACACACTTAACTTGCCATCAATACAATGTGTAACCTACAGGAGTGAATGTCCCCAGCACAGCCTGTATACTACTAGCATGGCATCATCAGGGTTAGGAAACAACAGATTCTCAGCTCCTATCTCTTTGTGACAGCACACTGATTTTAGATTAGTGTGCACAAGGTTTGCATTTATGCTTCCGACATGCATTTGGTGACATGTTTTAGGGCCCATTCACACTAGATGCGTTGACTGGCGTTATTCAGCAACTGAACACCACCAGTCACCTACACGGCACACAGGAAATAGCTGTTTTCTATGTACCCCCCTCAAACCACAACAACATGGGTCACCGCAGCAAATTACATACACTCCAGATAAAGGTAAAAAGAAAAAAATATAAGGTTTAGTGTTTTGCACGGAAAAAGCACATCGCCCACACCCGCCTGCACACTAAAACAAAGCATTTTTGGGGTACTGGCTAGTGCAAATGGACTCTTCGAAGAATCCAAAAAGCAGTATTGGAGCATTGTCATGTTTATCCGTCGCCGGCTTATGTGAGACACAAGCCATGCCATGGCAGAAACTCTGTGATGAACAGTACATGCTCTTTATCCTCTGCTTATCAGTCACCCCAGAATGAAAGAACCATATACCATATATATATATCATGACGCATGTACCTTGAGTAACGCATAGCACCATATTTGATTCTTGTCCACACTCTGGTTCTTCAGCAATCAGTATTGGAAGACTGATAACTATTATTAGGGACTTCATTTGATTTGTGGGGTCACTCAGCCCCCTTTGTGCTGTTTAGGTCTTCATCTGGGCACAGAGGAGCTGCTTCCCTGCCACACTTTGCCATCACAGGACCTGGATAGTATGGGGTGGGGGGTGCCAAGTGACACTGCATTGCATGGCATCCCTGCTAATAGATTCCATAGCCGATTGCTGGATAACCAGAGTGTGGACAGAAGCCAAACATGGTGCTAGGCCATTGTCAAGGTACATGTGTCATATGGCTGTTCAAGGAGTAACTCTAGGGGAAACTTCCATGCTAACTGCCCCTTTTTTTTATGCTGAAACACTACACAAAAGGAGACTTTTAGCTGGTATAAAATGATGTATTGAATAATCAGTTCTCAGGTTTATTGTAGGTATCATTTTAACCAATCAAAGTACCGCAGCGCTGAATACTGAAAAATGGCCTGGATGGGAAGGGGGTTTAACACCGCGGATGTCAACTGGTTAAAGAATACACAATTCTTACTCAGTGTACTCACCCGCCCCTACCTCTCCTTGGTCCCTCGTTTTGGTCATGACATCCATATACAGCAATCTACATTACCTGCATTTTAGTTGTGTATACTTATATTATATTTGTAAGCACGTAACACTTTGACATGAAAGTTTGGCTGAATAAAAGTTTAGCTGTGCCAGGACAATGTGGGAAGGGTCTATTATTCTGGCCTATACTGGTCATATCTCCTCCAGGAGATCAGCGACGATCAGGCTGCCTGAAGCAGTGATGGCTCCTACTATTGTTTTGGCTGTAAAAATCACTTTGTTACCAAGGGGACGGCTTATAAACAGGGGAAACAAAACTAAAGAGGAACTGAAACCTGGAGCGCAAGCAGATTGATTCCCATTTCCCTCAAGAAAAAGAGAAGTCTGGCCACTATAGGCAAAACCTCCATTTTCTTCCAGTCTGTAAAGCAGAGGAGGGAGGAATTGTTTGGTGTTACAAACAGATAACTAAAGTAACGGAGTGTGAGAATTCAGCAACCACATTCTATAATCTAGCCAGCAAAAGCAGGCACTTAGGCTCCATTCACATATATCGTTTGCGTTTCCCAAGCTGAAGACCGGGTGGGACGCTATATGTGAAACTGCGTGGATTCCGCTTGTTTACCGCCATTCTATACAGCAGAATCCGCGGTATTATCGCACTTGCATTATTTTGGGGGGCTGCACGGTTTCATACAATAGCCGAATACATGCTGACATCCACCCCAGTGTGAATGGAGCCTTATAGTAGATGATGAGATTGCATCTTTGAACAGAAAAGACACAAATAGCCTGTGTATAGGGCTGGCCACCAACCTCTATCTACTGCAGATCTGTGAAAATCATGGCTATGGTATGGCTTCCATTTACAAAGCATCAACACACAATAACATTTCGTATTTATAATGCTGGAGATGATTGTTATACACTGTGGGTATACTACAGGTGAGAGGCCACATACATTCTACAGGTATAGTTATATACTGTAGGACCCACTATGTGACGCAGCTGTTTCAACAGTACCGGTACCGCAGAACCAAGCGGCCGTGCCGGTACCGCAGAACCAAGCGGCCGTGCCGGTACCGCAGAACCAAGCGGCAGTGCCAGTACCACAGCACCATGCGGCAGTGCCAGTACCACAGCACCATGCGGCAGTGCCAGTACCACAGCACCATGCGGCAGTGCCAGTACCACAGCACCATGCGGCAGTGCCAGTACCACAGCACCATGCGGCAGTTCTTGTTCATATATGATGCTACAGAGAGCATGTTGTCTGACATCATTAGCACAGAACCATATGGAGAGTGAGGCAAGGTTTTTCCTACATCACCAGACACAGTGCCACATCTCATACTGTTGCAGGTTACATGCTGAAAAGACCTGAGGAAGCACCTAAGCTGCAGGCTAGAAATCAGAGCTTCAATAAAAATGTCAGAACCAGAACATGGTCTATGCCAGTAGACCCGGGCACATGATTGCAAACCCGTACTGCCCGGGTGAAACCCGGACGGGTGGCAACCCTACAGACACCCCTGGTGTAGTGATGTCATGAATGTTAAGGGCAACGCTTACAATACATTAAGTCTTTTGTTTGGCTGTACTGTAGTGGGAATCTGCCCAACTTGTCTTAATATTATGTCTCCCTACCAATAGGACCCACAGGCTGGGCAGAAAACCATAGTAACCCAACCACATTTTAGATTACACAAGTCCAATCTCTGCAAGCTAAATGGATGGTTACTATGGGCTCCCACACTTTTACATTTATTCATTAGGGTACACAGTGTAAACAAAGTCACACATATGCAAATGTACTTACAGTCTCTTATTTGTTAAAACAGGAAAGAAATGGTATGACTGCAAACTGTGATTTTCCATATAATGGGCACAGACAAAGGGCAAACAATGCCCATGCTGTAAGATGCATACTGTATTTGTAGCAGCTTTGATCATACTACAGTCAATGTCAGGTGTGTTTCAGGATGCCTATGCTGTTTGTACATGAGAATCTGAATATGCAAGTCCAATGTACACTATGTTATACGTTAAAGCACGAGTAGGTGTTCTGTGCATGTGCCCCTTAAAATGTAATGGCCACAAATACTATTTCATGTTGGTTTCTTTTGCTAGTGATGAAATTATAAACACATGGTAGATCATTAACCTCCATAATCCCGCATCACCGCTCCTTCACAGCGGCACTACAGAGACCGGTAGAACCCGTCTTTCTCCGACTTCCATAGTCACTCACTGAAAAAAAAACCCACACTGCAAACTTCACTGAATTTATTGCAGCACACAGCAGGTACACATTGTCCCGCCATGGATCCTCTTCACTCTTAACGTGTTTCACCCAATAATGGGCCTAAATCAGAGATTCTCTATGATAAATTGACTTTTTTTTTTTTCCTGTGAGTGACATGGCAGATCATTACTACATTTACATACAATCATTAGGCTGCATTTCTACTTCTTCATTCTAGCACAATGTGATCAAAATCCTGCTTGCTGCATCTTTGGAGTGGTTTCCAGCAGAAG